GTCGCTCTTTACTTGGTGGAAAGTTCTTTCAAAGGTTGATCTGAATAGTCAGGCACTCGCATACAAAGGGACTCCATCATACCGGATGCCACCGTTTAAGGAGCCTTTGAAAGTTCTCAAGAATTCAGCGAGATTTTTAATCTGAAACTGAAGAATCTGGTACTGTAAGTCTAAAGAAGCTTATTTTGGAATCCAATTTCGTATGCGATGTTTGGTTTTCAGAGAAGGGGACTGGGCCCCCCACGACTACTGCTCTGGCTTCTCTTCCTCGAATTCTGGGAGATGGGAAGCGGCCAGCTCCACTACTCCGTCTACGAGGAGTCCAAACACGGCACTTTCGTGGGCCGCATCGCACAGGACCTGGGGCTGGAGCTGGCGGAGCTGGTGCCGCGCCTGTTCCGGTTGGCTTCCAAAGGCCACGGGGACCTTCTGGAGGTAAATCTGCAGAATGGCATTTTGTTTGTGAATTCTCGGATCGACCGCGAGGAGTTGTGCGGGCAAAGCGCGGAGTGCAGCATCCACCTGGAAGTGATAGTGGACAGGCCGCTGCAGGTTTTCCACGTGAACGTGGAGGTGAAGGACATTAACGATAACCCGCCGGTGTTCTCGCTCAGAGAACAAAAGCTGCTGATTGCGGAATCTAAGCAATCGGACTCGCGTTTTCCACTAGAGGGAGCTTCTGATGCTGATATTGAAGAGAATGCTCTATTGACCTACAGGCTAAGTCAAAATGAGTATTTTTCTTTAGATTCACCAACGAATAGTAAGCAGATTAAAAGACCGTCACTTATTTTAAAGAAGTCTCTGGATAGAGAGAAAACTCCGGAACTTAATTTGCTACTAACGGCTACAGACGGGGGAAAACCGGAGCTTACTGGCACTGTTCAGCTGTTAGTCCAAGTCTTGGATGTCAACGACAATGATCCAGAGTTTGATAAATCAGAATACAAGGTGAGCCTTATGGAAAACGCTGCTAAAGAAACTCTTGTGATAAAACTAAACGCCACAGACCGAGATGAGGGAGTCAACGGAGAGTTAACATACTCCTTAATGTCAATTAAGCCCAATGGAAGACCCTTATTTACACTAGATCAAAATAATGGAGAAGTGAGGGTCAATGGAATTTTAGATTATGAAGAAAACAAGTTTTATAACATTGAAGTACAGGCTACAGATAAGGGGACTCCCCCAATGGCAGGTCACTGTACAGTCTGGGTGGAAATCTTGGACACCAACGATAACTCTCCTGAAGTCACCGTGACTTCCGCGTCCCTCGCAATACGAGAGGACACTCATCCCAGCACGGTCATTGCCCTGATCAGCGTGTCTGACCGTGACTCAGGTGTCAACGGGCAGGTGACCTGCTCTCTGACTCTCCACGTTCCCTTCAAGCTGGTGTCCACCTTCAAGAATTACTATTCGTTGGTGCTGGACAGCGCCCTGGACCGTGAGAGCGTGTCGGCCTATGAGCTGGTGGTGACCGCGCGGGATGGGGGCTCGCCTTCGCTGTGGGCCACGGCCAGGGTGTCCGTGGAGGTGGCCGACGTGAACGACAACGCACCTGCGTTCGCACAGCCCGAGTACACAGTGTTCGTGAAGGAGAACAACCCGCCGGGCTGCCACATCTTCACGGTGTCTGCGCGGGACGCGGACGCGCAGGAGAACGCGCTGGTGTCCTATTCGCTGGTGGAGCGGCGGGTGGGCGAGCGCGCGCTGTCGAGCTACGTGTCGGTGCACGCGGAGAGCGGCAAAGTGTACGCTCTGCAACCGCTGGACCACGAGGAGCTGGAGTTGCTGCAGTTCCAGGTGAGCGCGCGTGACGCTGGCGTGCCGTCTCTGGGCAGCAACGTGACGCTGCAGGTGTTTGTGCTGGATGAGAACGACAACGCACCGACACTGCTGGCGACTCGGGCTGGCAGCGCGGGAGGCGCAGTTAACGAGCTAGTACCGCGGTCGGTGGGTGCGGGCCACGTGGTGACGAAGGTGCGCGCAGTAGATGCGGACTCAGGCTACAATGCGTGGCTTTCATATGAATTGCAGCCGGCGGCGGTCGGCTCGCGCATCCCGTTCCGCGTGGGGCTGTACACGGGCGAGATCAGCACAATGCGTGCCCTGGACGAGGTGGACTCACCGCGCCACCAACTTCTGGTGCTGGTGAAGGACCACGGTGAGCCGGCGCTGACGGCCACTGCCACCGTGCTGGTGTCGTTGGTGGAGACCGGACAGGCGCCAAAGGTCTCTTCGCGGGCTTTGGTGGGCGCCGCGAGCCCAGAGGCTGCGCTGTTGGATGTCAACGTGTACCTGATCATCGCCATTTGCGCGGTGTCCAGCCTGCTGGTGCTCACGCTGCTGCTGTATACTGCGCTGCGGTGCTCGGTGACGCCCACTGAGGGCACGTGCGGGCCGGGCAAGCCCACTCTGGTGTGCTCCCGCGCGATGGGGAGCTGGTCGCACTCGCAGCAGAGGCAGCAGAGGGTGTGCTCTGGGGAGGGCCCACCTAAGACGGACCTCATGGCCTTCAGCCCCAGTCTTCCTCTAGGTCTGAATAAAGAGGAGGAAGGGGAAAGACAGGAACCAGGGTCAAATCACCCCGGACAGGTGAGTTTTCTACAGATTCCACCTATCAGAAAGTGTATGTGAAATTATTTAAAATCCAGTGTTTTTCACGGATTTTTTAAGGGAAAGTTTTATGATCAGTATTTTGAATATTGTTGTAGATAACAACGTCTGTTCATGAAATGCCAAATGATACACATCTTCAGTCTTTTAGTCATATGAATAATTCGGCTTCTTTAACCAATAAATGTACTATTTCTCTTAATATTTGGTTAGCAAATATTAAAAGAAATGAGATGCAAGAATGATTCTTCTGTAGTCACTTGAGTAGAAATAATTACTATTTTCACTAAAGTACCCATGCTCCTTCATCTCTAAACTTCAGTTATGGCCATAATAACTAAGGATTATTTAAATTTGCTCCTCTTTGTCTTTTAGTAGATTTTTGCCTTGATATTTCCACATTGTTAAATCAATTGGCTTTGTTTTTCTAAAGGGAGGAGGTCTTCCCATGATGTCCAGGTTGGACTGCGCTGGCTATTCACAGGTGACCGCTCAAAGGATTCTCCCACTTCAGCCTCCAGAGTAGCTGGGGATGCAGTGCCACTACACTTAGTCCATTGGCTTTTCTAACTTCAGGCTTGTATCAAAACTGGAATACTCCATTAGTATGACATGATTTACCTTACTTTTTTATTTTTACAGTGTTAAACATTCATCATAAATTCATTATATATGAAACAATCTTTACTTTTGTCTTTATTCTTGTGATAATACTTGTTGTCATATTGTTTGAAGAAAAAAGTTAAACCTTGCATTCTTATATGCTGCTTTATGGAAATAATATAACTAAAATTCTACATGTTCTTGCCAGACAAAGTGGCTCAGGCCTGTAATCCCAGCTATTTGAGAGGCTGAGGCAGGAGAACTGCTTGAGCCCAAGAATTTGAGGCCTGCCTAGACAGCGTAGCGAGATCCTGTCTCTATAAAAAATTTAAAAATTAGCCAGACCTGGTGGTGCACGCTTGTAGTCCCAGTTTCTTGGGAGGTTGACATGAGAGGGTCCCCTGAACCCAGGGGTTCAGGGCTGCAGGCTGCAGTGAGCTATCATCGTGAGACCCCTATCTGAAAAAATAATTTTTTTTTTTTGCCTGTTCTTGATTTTGTTCCATACAAAGGCAAGAGATTTGTCAACTTTTGGATACTCAAACAAAATGGCATGATTTATGATTCCAAAGGAAACTAGGTAAATAAAATTATTCAAATTATCCAAACATGCTAAAGACTTGCATATAGGGCTATATTATCTACAATATATGCTAGCTGGCATTCTTCCATAGGTTTTTCAGATTCATGTAGCAGAGAAAAAATTAAATATATTAATGTGAGTACCTACTGACAATTTTTCATTCATCTCACATTTTAACTGCTCTATCTTGTAGTGCCTTATCTCTAATGTTTTTGAAATTTTCTTTCCACGTGGTATCACTCCATCTGAAGATCTGAGCAAAGATCATTTACTTCTGAGTCATTCTTCGTATTTAGTTATTCTTACTACACGTAGAGTGGTGGAATTACAGACTTTTTTGAGAATCATATCTAGTTATTTCCCCCCTTATAGATGCATAACATACCATTTGGCACAATATTCAAAGAGTCTATGCTGAAGCCTAGTCATAGACTTTAGATCAAGAACTTTTGTACCTTAGTATTCATTGGCTAAAAACATTCTTTAAGTATTAAAGAGAAGGCAACAAGATAAAAATATAAAATATTTCAGACTCAAAAGTGATTAAACCATCATACCACTTACGAAACTTTACAAATATAATAAATGTGAATATTAGACAGGGAATACATTACCCATCTCCAGATAAAGTTTTTGGAATAACTCAAGAACTTTTAAAGACTTGGGAACGTTTTCAGTGCAGGTTAAAATTTTGTAAATTATTATTTTATATCACATAAATAACAAATTTGCATTTTAGATAATTTAGATTACTTGGACTGATTTCTGAAAAGTTGTGTCTTTTATACTTATTCTTAATGCCAAGATTGCATTCTATGGTATAAAATTATAATTTCAATTTATTTTCTAGTTTGGTTGTTTAAGTATTAAGCTGAACTTAGATGTTCCTATTGGCTTAACAAATTGTTTAGGTCAAAGAGTGTGTGAGAACTACATAATACACTATTATTATTTGTTGCTTTTTGAGATAGAGTCTTGGTCTATCACCCAGGTTGGAGTGCAGTGGTGTGATCTTGGCTCACTGCAATCTCCACCTCCCGTGTTCAAGTGATTCTCCTGCCTCAGCTTTCCGAGTAGCTGGGACTACAGGCATGCACCACCACTCCTGGCTAATTTTTGTATTTTTAGTAGAGACGGGTTTTCACCATGTTGGCCAGGCTGGTCTTGAACTCCTGACCTCAGGTGATCTGCCTGCCTCAGCCTCCCAAAGTGCTGGGATTACAGGTGTAAGTCACTGCACTCAGCCTATTTTTTAAAATTAAAGTTCCTTAGCTCGTATGGTACCTTGACTACTTTTGAAAATGAAAAATAGGAAAGAAATTTGGTGGTAATATTAGACAATTTAAATAATTAGCCTGATGGCATCAAAATTCAAATATATTTTTAATTACTTAACGTTTTATAGTTGATTTAAGTTATCTTATACTTGTAGAGCCATTCTTGGTTATTGTTTCCTAGTTTCGTAAAGGTGTCGTATTTCAGTTGCCTTTATTATTATATGTAATAGCAACGAATTGCATCAAATTATTGGTTTAAAGATTTTGACCTTGAGTATTAATAGACTTACAAAATCTATGTGTAGTTGTTCACAATGAGTTGTAGGATCTTATCTGTGTTTTGTTTTCTCTTAAAGCTGATTTTGAATTAATGAATAAACTCACTAAAGGTCTTTTGATTCCCCCTTGCATCACAGTCACTATTCTGATTTTCTGAAGAGAAGCATGTCCTAACTACTAAATGACTTATAGGGGAAGTTTTAGAGAAAAAGCAAAAGGTTGATATCAAGTTCACATTCTCTTGACTTTAGTCAATGAGATTAGGCTTCAAAACCTTTTAAGAGATCTTTCTCATATTAGTGCTCCATTGTTACTTTGGGATAGCATGAAATTTGGAGGTTTCAATAAAACATTTAACATGAAAGTGCTTTACTTTTGCTAGAGTAAAACTTTCCAGAATCTATTCCTGAGATGTGTTTTAGCATGTTATGGAAATGAGAGCAGTTATGTGAAAAGTTATTACATTCAAGCATCAAGGAACCAAAAACAATAACACTCCCCATATTTATGATGAATTCTAACTTTCATCAGATTTATGAATAAGACAATTTATATAAATGAAATATTGTTTGGTATTAGACATTTTAGTTTCTTATCCTTTGTTAAATACAAAATTCCTAACTTTCTCTAAAATCTTATGATGGAGTGCTTGTAAAGGTTAAAAGTTACTGAAACAGTGTGAATTGCAAGCTATATAAGGGCAGGGGTGATGTATATTATTCTGTATATCATTTTCCATGATAAAGTGTAGCTTCTAACCTACCGTATTTGAAAGATTTCTACTTTTAAGCAGAAAACATTTTTAAACTGCAGTGTAATAAAATTGTTGATGTTTTGTTACTATCATGTGTATTAACTAAACCCGCATTTATAAATTATCCGTGAAAAATATCCGAAAGTCGAAACAACAGAATTTAGAGTGACCCAGAAAGTGGCTAAACCGAAAAGAACCTCAGGATCTTCCTTGCACTTACATAATCGGTCACATGATGTCGCTCTACACTCAAAAGGTGAAACAGGAAAATTTTTTCTCCGCACCCACATTCCAACCATTCACGGAATAGGATCGACTCCATATTGACTGTTATGCTGGAAAAAATGTACTAAATATGTACTTACAGAAAAGGGTGACTGCTCATGAAATACCTCAGGCAAGCGAACCCTTAAAACTGACTGTCCCAACTCAGAGGCCCTCATTTTCTGCAATGGTGATTATCGGGCCAAGAGGCCCGGGATCTCAGCGTCTGCTGCTCTCGCTTCTGCTCTTCGCAGCCTGGGAGGTGGGGAGCAGCCAGCTCCACTACTCCGTCTACGAGGAGTCCAAACACGGCACCTTTGTTGGCCGCATTGCTCAGGACCTGGGGCTGGAGCTGGCGGAGCTGGTGCCGCGCCTGTTCCGGGTGGCGTCCAAAACACATGGGGAACTTCTGGAGGTAAATCTGCAGAATGGCATTTTGTTTGTGAATTCTCGGATCGACCGCGAGGAGCTGTGCGGGAGGAGCGCGGAGTGCAGCATCCACCTGGAAGTGATAGTGGACAGGCCGCTGCAGGTTTTCCATGTGGACGTGGAGGTAAAGGACATTAACGACAACCCGCCAGTGTTCAGAGAAAGGGAACAAAAGGTACCTGTTTCTGAATCTGCGCCTCTGGACTCTCATTTTCCTCTAGAGGGCGCTTCTGATGCGGATATCGGCGTAAACTCTCTTTTGACCTATGCGTTAAGTCTAAATGAGCATTTTGAGCTTAAAATAAAAACAAAAAAAGATAAAAGTGTATTGCCTGAATTAGTTCTTCGGAAGTTATTGGACAGAGAACAAACGCCAAAACTCAGTTTCTTGCTGATGGTAATCGATGGCGGTAAACCAGAACTAACAGGGTCTGTTCAGATTCAAATAACCGTCCTGGATGTGAATGACAATGGTCCGGCGTTTGATAAGCCCAGCTATAGAGTGGTGTTGTCTGAAAATGTCCAAAACGGCACAAGAGTGATCCAACTAAACGCTTCCGATCCAGACGAAGGACTTAATGGAGAAATTTCCTATGGGATGAAAATGATTTTGCCAGTGAGTGAGAAATGTATGTTTTCAATAAATCCAGACACAGGTGAAATTAGAATTTATGGTGAATTGGATTTTGAAGAGAATAATGCCTATGAAATTCAGGTTAACGCCATTGATAAAGGGATTCCTTCCATGGCAGGTCACAGTATGGTCCTGGTGGAAGTTCTGGACGTGAATGACAATGTCCCTGAAGTAATGATTACTTCACTGTCACTCCCTGTGCAAGAGGATGCTCAGGTGGGTACCGTCATTGCCCTGATTAGCGTGTCGGATCGTGACTCTGGAACCAATGGACAGGTTATCTGCTCACTGACATCTCATGTTCCCTTCAAGTTGGTGTCCACCTACAAGAATTACTACTCATTGGTGCTGGACAGCGCCCTGGACCGCGAGAGCGTGTCGGCCTATGAGCTGGTGGTGACCGCGCGGGATGGGGGCTCGCCTTCGCTGTGGGCCACGGCCAGCGTGTCCGTGGGTGTGGCCGACGTGAACGACAACGCGCCGGCGTTCGCGCAGCCCGAGTACACAGTGTTCGTGAAGGAGAACAACCCGCCGGGCTGCCACATCTTCACGGTGTCTGCGCGGGACGCGGACGCGCAGGAGAACGCGCTGGTGTCCTATTCGCTGGTGGAGCGGCGGGTGGGCGAGCGCGCGCTGTCGAGCTACGTGTCGGTGCACGCGGAGAGCGGCAAGGTGTACGCGCTACAGCCGCTGGACCATGAGGAGCTGGAGCTGCTGCAGTTCCAGGTGAGCGCGCGCGACGCAGGCGTGCCGCCTCTGGGCAGCAACATGACGCTGCAGGTGTTCGTGCTGGATGAGAACGACAATGCGCCGGCGCTGCTGGCGACTCGGGCTGGCAGCGCGGGCGGTGCAGTTAGCGAGCTGGTACCGCGGTCGGTGGGTGCGGGCCACGTGGTGGCGAAAGTGCGCGCAGTGGACGCTGACTCCGGCTATAACGCTTGGCTGTCCTACGAATTGCAACCGGCGGCGGGTGGCGCGCGCATCCCGTTTCGCGTGGGGCTGTACACTGGCGAGATCAGCACGACACGCATCCTGGACGAGGCAGACACTCCGCGCCATCGCCTGCTGGTGCTGGTGAAGGACCACGGTGAGCCCGCGCTGACGGCCACGGCCACGGTGCTGGTGTCGCTGGTGGAGAACGGTCAGGCACCAAAGGTGTCGTCGCGGGCCTCAGTGGGCGCTGTGGGTCCCGAAGCGGCTCTGGTGGACATCAACGTGTACCTGATCATCGCCATCTGTGCAGTGTCCAGCCTGCTGGTGCTCACACTGCTGCTGTACACTGCGCTGCGGTGCTCAGCGCCTCCCACCATGAGCCAGTGCTCGCCAGGCAAGCCCACGCTGGTGTACTCCAGCGCCATGGGGAGTTGGTCTTACTCGCAGCAGAGGAGGCAGAGGGTGTGCTCTGGAGAGGGCCCGCCCAAGACGGACCTCATGGCTTTCAGTCCAAGCCTTCAGCTGTCTCGAGAAGATTGTTTAAATCCTCCCAGTGAAGTAAGTTATTAATATTATTTAGATATATTTGTTTCCTTGAAGAACTTCCGTTTAGGTTATAACTACATTGTCTCGGTTTTCTTTGTGATTTTATCCTTTAAACTATCGAATGTCTCATCTTTCTTCGTCATTCTTACTCATTTTGAACTTTTGTGTATTTGTCTAACATTCATGAAGGAAATATGTAGATACAATGGAGGCCATGGATCACCACACTTAATATTTTTCTTTTTCTATAATATTTTATATGACTGATTAACTTTGAAAAATAATAGTATATTAGATTAAAAACTGGCCAGATGTTTGATAACTTAAAATTTTACTTTAATTTGTTCATTATTCAAGATTACAGGTGAGTTGCAAGAATAGTACAAAAAGTTACTAGATGCCATTAATGGATTCTTTTACTCTTCCTCATGTGCTTAGGCTTTTAAAACAGCCTTCTTGATCACTATTCTAATTTCAGTACAATCTAGATATTTTCACATTATATTCCAGGTATTATCACAATAATATGAATATATGTCTGATAAATGATGAATGATTTTCTTCATTGTTCACACAATACCTTCTTTATTTCAAGTAGGAATAGCTATTGTGCTATTCTTATTTACATGAAATATAGTAAAATCATTTCTCAATTTAAAAATATTTAACCATCTGTACCATACAGTACAGTTGGCAACCAACTGTGGCTCAAACCCCGTTTTGGATGATCCCAAACTTGTCATAGTATACCACTGCACTGTGCCTATTACCAAGTGAATCTTCTAATGTGCATTTTACATGTTTTAACTTTCTGTTTCTACAAAGTATCCAGAGGCTTCTCTTTAACCAGGGAATAAAATCTTACATACCCCAGCCTGGTAGTAAAGGTATTAAAATTTCCAGCCTTATATCTACTTTCTTACATATCTTTAGTTTAGGATCTGGAATATAGTATACGTTCAATCACTTTTTAAAAACATATGGGGATCTTGCTATGTTGTGCAGGCTGGACTAGAACTTCTAGGTTCAAGTGATCCTCCATTTCAGCCTTCCAAGTAGCTGGGACTACAGGCAGGCTCCACCACTCCCAGCTTCAATCAATAATTTTTAATAAATATATGGTATTGAAATGTATTACCTGGGCATTCCTCTCTATCTTAGAAATGGGAGTAAGCCCTAGAAATCAGATCTTTTATTGAAGAGTGTCTTGAAAGATAGATAACATTTTACCAAGAAAGTATTACATATGGGGAGATAAGTATGAACAACTGCAGAGTATATGATGATAAATGTGTACTTGAAGGATTAGAGCAGGGGAGATTGTGAAAGCAGGAAAGCTATTTCTTTTTTAATAAATTAGGTATCAAGTAATGGAGACTTAAATTATGGCAGTAGAACTGAATTGAAAAAGACAAGAGGCATTGACAAAGTAAAAGCAGCCAAATAATGACAGACTCAATACAAATGATAAGAGAAAAACAAAAGTAGAAGGTGACTCTCACTTTTTTAGTTTGTTCAACTGAGAAGATGAGATTGCCGTTAACCAACTTGCAGAACAGTGTTGGAGAAACAGTTTATGCATATTTGAGCAGGTAGGGAATGGAGATGAACATTTAAGAAAATGTTACTTTGAGGTCCTAAGAGAATACCATTGTGATTGGAAATATGGGTCTGGATCTCAGAAGAGATTATTGATATAGATTTTGGGAACAACTCCTTTAGGGAAAAAATAAATCTATGAAAGAATAAAATTGTCAAGATAGACATTTGAAAAGTGAAAAACAATGTGTCCAGGTACTTAGGTGGGTAAGTGTGTCACTTCCTGTGGCTGCTATAACAAACGACCACAAACTGGGTGCTGTAAAACAACAAAAGTTTATTATGTCTCAGTATTGGAGACCAGAAGTCCAAAATCAAGGTGTTGTCAGGGCTATACTCTCTTTGGAGGCCCCAGGGAAGAATCTGGTTTTTATTTCTTCCAGTTTCTGATGGCTGCTGGTGTTCCTTGGCTTGTGGCTGAACCACTCCAATCTCAGCCTTCTCAGCCTTCACGGTCACATTGCCTCCTCCTCTCCATGTCTCTCTCTTTGTGTTGGTTTTACAAAGTTACATGTGATTGTATTTAGCGCCCATCTGGATAATCCAGGATAAAATCCTTTCAAGATCCTTAACTTAATCATATCATTCACCAAATAAAGTAAAATCCACAGGTTCCAGGGATTGAGATGTGGGCATAACTTTCTGGGGACCACAATTCAACCTATTATAGTAGGCTTAAAATCATAGGAGGATAGACAACAGGAAGCTGAAATAAAGCTCAAAGTGCAATATATCAAGTATATGTTAGAAGTTAAACATGAAGGGAAAAAGATAAACAGAATAGGTTTTCCCCCAGAAGTAGAACGTTTAAATGTATGTGTGTGTGTGTGTATACATATTTTAGTTAAAGATGTTTGAATATCTTCATAGTGTGAGTGAAAGAAACAAGTAAAAAATAAGATACTAAAAATAAGACAGGCAGCAGGAGAATTTAGATGAAAACTATGAGAGAATAGAAAATGATTCTTAAGAGCGTATGGTTGACCTTGAAAGTGGGAACAGTTTTTCCTTACAATTAGTAGACAATGAAAACAGATAATATAAGGAAAATGACTTGAGGAGAGCTATTGAATTTCTGTTTGGTGACATCTCTCAATGTGTGCATCATCTGAAAGTGAACTGATGGAAATGAGGTTGAGAATTTGAGAAGAAAGGGAAGAGAATACAGAAGAATCTGTAAGCAAGAGGGAGGAGTTAATTTACTTGAGAGCCCAACTGAGGTAAAGGTGAGAGTAAACTTGAAGAGAATAGTCATGGTTAAGTGACAGTATTGAGCAGCTTAATAGGAAGAATAGAGAAAATGGATTGTCAGGGTAACTGTGTGTTGGAGGCTAAAAAAAATGTTAGATAAGTAATACAAATAGGTGAATGACTCTAGGGTGTCTGGAAGGGCATATTTTAAATGGTTGACTATGTAGTCTAATTATGTGAAGAGGTAAATAAAGAAATGTAGAGCCAGATAGGAAGAATTAGAGAGTCGATGAACAATTTCCATTATAAGAGGAATACTATGTTGGTAAAAGTAATGGAGCAGGAGAGGATGATGAGGGTAAGAGAATACCAAATTCTCGGCCTAAATTTTTAGAGGAGAGCAGAGTTATGGAAATAAATCCAACAGTCATTTCCTGTAAAGTTGTGCACAGAATAGGCCAGATAATTATTGGAGCGATGATATATTTTTCATTACACTATTTGGCCTGGGATTTTGTGGCTTGAGTTATAACAATAGATAAAAGTGAGATCCTCTTCCTCTCTTCCTTGCTAAAGATATGTTAACATCTTTGTCTACCTATTGTTTCTTGGAAAATTAGAGTCAATTTAAATGATGGCAAGGTTTTATTCAGTGATGATGAAGTAAGATGGAGAAAGAAAATGGAAAATTTAACCTACTGGTTAAATTCTATTTAACTAGGAAGCCAATTCGGGCTACAATGCATGGCTTTTGTATGAATTGCAGCCGGGGGTGGTAAGTTAAATTCTATTAAATAAATAGAATACTAGTTCCAGGAATATTTTATAAAAACAGAATCCAAAACCTTAAATCATTGTTGTGTCTAAATTATTGTGTTTATGCACATACACACACTCACATACAAAATCACACACATATTGACTGAACATTTTCTTTTGAATATAAATATTGTATCCACATCTCAAGTAACATTGAGGGAAATTTATAAATATGGTGTATTTATTCAAAGTCTGATATATCGCTTATCAATATTTTTCACCGTCACCCATTTTATTCTTATGTGATTGTTGTTTCCTTTTGGAGTCAATGGCTGTTGTGTGAGGAGGTCTTGAAAAATATTACAGGAAAAGGACAGTCCCACAAAAACCTACGTGACTATGCAGAACTACAGATCAATTGTCCCACAATGAACGTCGAATATTTGTCTTTTCAAGTTCTGCATGGAAGTCTTACACACGGAAAAACAAATTTGTGGCAAGATGAAACTCATCAACCAATTGTCAACTAATATCAAATACTGAGCAGAATGCAGTGATTTGCTGTTTCTGGGAAGGTAAACATTTAATCTTCAATTACGTATTTGCAGTGAAAATGTCAGGAAATGCAGGCAAAAAATCCTGCATCAATGGAAAATATGAAGACTGAGTCATACTTACACTTACACGTTCATGCGCATGGTGTCGCTCTTCACTGAGAACGTTTCCGCGAAGAAAGAGCCGCCGTTTGTTTCTTCCTGCAGAAAACATAGCAGAAAGCGGAATACCTCTTGCGAATCCTCCCGCACTAGGAAGCCATAAAACTTGGGCGTTGAGAGGCAGTTTGAGGTAAAGCATTGTATATATTGCAGATATCTCTGAGGGTTTTGGAGTGTATCATGGTGTTTTCCTGGCAAGGAGGCCCAAGACAGCGGCAACTACTGCTCTGGCTTCTGATCCTCGCAGCCTGGGAGAGGGGTAGTGGCCAGCTCCACTACTCCGTCCCCGAGGAAGCAAAACACGGCACCTTCGTGGGGCGCATCGCTCAGGACCTGGGGCTGGAGCTGGCAGAGCTGGTGCCGCGCCTGTTCCGGGTGGCGTCCAAAACACACGGGGACCTTCTGGAGGTAAATCTGCAGAATGGCATTTTGTTTGTGAATTCTCGGATCGACCGCGAGGAGCTGTGCGGGCGGAGCGCGGAGTGCAGCATCCACCTGGAGGTGATCGTGGACAGGCCGCTACAGGTTTTCCATGTGGAGGTGAAGGTGAGGGACATTAACGACAACCCGCCCGTATTTCCTGAAAGCAAGAAACGAATAACCATTGCAGAATCTAGACCTCCAGAAACTCGATTTCCACTAGATGGCGCATCCGATGCAGATATTGGAGTAAACTCGGCATTGACCTACCGACTGTATCCCAACGATTATTTCGCTTTGGACACACAAAATAGTCGTGAGCAAATGTCTTCATTATCACTTATACTGAGGAAAACACTGGACAGAGAGGAAATTCAGGAACATACTTTATTACTGACAGCCAGTGATGGAGGTAAACCCGAACTGACTGGCACAGTTCAACTGCTCATCACGATTCTGGACGTGAATGATAACGCCCCGGAATTTTACCAATCCGTTTATAAAGTGACGATGTTAGAGAACGCATTCAATGGAACATTAGTGATCAAACTAAATGCCACAGATCCTGATGATGGTACAAATGGAGATATAGTTTACTCATTTAGAAGGCCTGTATCGCCTGCAGTGGTATATGCATTTACCATAAATCCCAACAACGGAGAAATTAGGACAAAAGGCAAACTAGATTTCGAAGAAAAGAAATTGTATGAAATATCTGTGGAGGCAATTGACAAAGGAAATATTCCAATGGCGGGTCATTGTACCCTTTTGGTGGAAGTACTAGATGTAAATGATAACGCCCCAGAGGTTACCATCACTTCTTTGTCACTCCCCATCAGAGAAGACACTCAGCCTAGCGCCATCATTGCCCTCATCAGTGTGTCCGATCGTGACTCTGGCTCAAACGGACAGGTCACCTGCACCCTGACGCCGCACGTCCCCTTCAAGCTGGTGTCCACCTACAAGAATTACTACTCATTGGTGTTGGACAGCGCCCTGGACCGAGAGAGCGTGTCAGCCTATGAACTGGTGGTGACCGCGCGGGATGGGGGCTCGCCTTCGCTGTGGGCCACGGCCAGCGTGTCCGTGGGAGTGGCCGACGTGAACGACAACGCGCCGGCGTTCGCGCAGTCCGAGTACACGGTGTTTGTGAAAGAGAACAACCCACCGGGCTGCCACATCTTCACGGTGTCTGCGCGGGACGCGGACGCGCAGGAGAACGCGCTGGTGTCCTATTCGCTGGTGGAGCGGCGGGTGGGCGAGCGTGCGCTGTCGAGCTACGTGTCGGTGCACGCGGAGAGCGGCAAGGTGTACGTGCTGCAGCCGCTGGACCACGAGGAACTGGAGCTGCTGCAGTTCCAGGTGAGCGCGCTCGATGCGGGCGTGCCGCCTCTGGGCAGCAACGTGACGCTGCAGGTGTTCGTGCTGGATGAGAACGACAACGCGCCTGCTCTACTGACGCCCGGAGCTGGCAGCGCTGGAGGCACAGTGAGCGAGCTGGTGCCGCGGTCGGTGGGTGCAGGCCACGTGGTGGCGAAGGTGCGCGCAGTGGACGCCGATTCCGGCTACAATGCCTGGCTTTCGTATGAATTGCAACCGGCGGCGGTCGGCTCGCGCATCCCGTTCCGTGTGGGGCTGTACACTGGCGAGATCAGCACAACACGCACTCTGGACGAGGTGGACGCCCGGCGCCACCGCCTTCTGGTGCTGGTGAAGGACCACGGTGAGCCCGCGCTGACGGCCACGGCAACGGTGCTATTGTCGTTGGTGGAGAGCGGCCAACAGCCAAAGGCGTCGTCGAGGGCGTCCGCAGGCGCTGTGGGTCAGGAAGCGGCGCTGGTGGATGTCAACGTGTACCTGATCATTGCCATCTGCGCAGTGTCCAGCCTGTTGGTCCTCACGCTGCTACTGTATACTGCGCTGCGGTGCGCGTCGCCGCACACCGAGGGCGCGTGCGCCCTGGGCAAGCCCACTCTAGTGTGCTCTAGCGCGGTAGGGAGTTGGTCGTACTCGCAGCAGAGGCAGCAGAGGGTGTGCTCTGGGGAGGGCCCACCTAAGACGGACCTCATGGCCTTCAGTCCCAGTCTTCCTCCTTGTCTGGGTTCTGCAGAGGGAACAGGCCAGAGGGAGGACTCAGAATGCTTGAAAGAGGTAAGCTTATCTTTTTAAATATTATCTTAGTAAACACTTTAGCCTTCTTTGCAGTTGTTTAAGACATCTTTCCTGCCAATTTCAAATTATTCTTCCCTTTTATTTTAATTTTGTTAGTTGTTATCGAATTTAACAACTCTGCTCTGGATATTATGTGTTGGATTATTCTTCAGAGTGAAATCTTAACTCAGAAACCATAATGAAATGTGCAAAACAAGAATATTTTGTTTCTGTTGTATTCTTAATAGTTCTAAGTATTTATTGTGCAATTGAGCATTTACAAAAAATTCTGCACGTTGTGAGAAGTTAAACATTTAGAAAATGTTTGTTTTAATGAGGCTAATCATAATCTTAAATTTAAATTTTTTAAAATTTAATTTATACATTTACCCACACAGATATTATTTTAAAGAGCTCCATAACTTTTCACATAAATACTTTTTTTAAGTGCACTTTTCTTTCTTTTTTCTTTTTTAAACCTGTTTTGATTGGTCTCTACTTTTTTATTCTCTAGGCACATCAGTGTTCCCCTCTCATGTATCCCATGCAAAATATCTTGTGATTCTTCTTTCAATTTTTTATTTGCATTCAGATAAGTACTAACACATGTATAATACATATATAGAGAGAGCTGGTAGGTTTTTTGTTATTATTTCTTTTCCGAAGTTTGCAGGGATTTCCAAAAGGTATTGGTGACTGTATAATAGATGTTTTAACTTTGTTGTCTGCTAATTTCAACATTTTTGTCCTTAGTTTGCTTTTTTGATCTATCTTCTTATATGGATATATTTTCTTGCTGTTTTGCATGACTGGTAATCTCTGATAAGATGCTAGACATTGTTAATTTTACATTGTCAGATGCTGGAATTTGTGTGTGTGTGTGTGTGTGTGTGTGTGTGTGTGTGTGTGTTCCTTTAAAGCAGTGGTTCTCGATAAGAAAGTTTTGCCCCCTCTACTCCCACCCAGGAGATAATTTGGCAATGCTGGGATACATTTTTGGTTGTTACAACTAGGGAATTGCTACTGGCATCTAATAATGGAGCTCTGAGATGCTGCTAAACACCATCCAATTGCTGTCAAACATCCTACAGTGCACAGGCAGTCCCCCAACAATAAAGAATTAGTCAGCTCAAAATGTCAGTAGTTCCAAAACTGTTGAGAAACTCTACTTTAAAGAGTCTTGGACTTAGTTCTGACTTGAAGTTGCTTGGTACCAATTTATTCCTTTCAAGGCTTCATTTTAAGATTTGTTAGCACACATTCAGAGCAGCTTTTAGTGCAGCACTAATTTGGCCTTCTATTACAGCAATACTTTCCTGTGGACACCACCTAATGCCCTGTGCATTAACAGGTCTCTCTTCTCTGACTGGTAGGAATGTGAAATATTTCCAGCCCTTTGTGAGCTCTAGGAATTATTCTATCCAATTTTTTTTTTTATTTTAAAAGGATAGCCTGATCTGGGGAGGTTGATCAGTGATCTATGATCTGTGATCACATCACTGCACTGCAGCCTGGGTGACGGAGTGAGACCATGTCTCAACATAAAAATTAAAACATTATAATTGAGGTTGAATGTTATCAAATATTTTATCTGCATCTTTTGAGGGAGGTATAAATTTTTTCTTTGGCAATGTTCATGTGTTGAATTTATGATTTGTGGTTTTCTTATGGCAAATCAACCTCTACTTCCTTGGATAAACATAATTTGATTATAATTTATAATCCTTTTTATATACTACTTATTTTCTTAAATTTCCAAAATATTTTTGCATCTTTATTCCAGGTGATACTGATATGTCCTTGTTTTTCTTCCTAATTTCTTCTCTGTTAAGTATTCAAGTTATAAATAAGAATCTAGCATAAGTTGAATACTTAACAAAGAAGAATAATCTTTGAAAACTTCCAGAAAATGTTCTGTTTCCTGTAAAAGTTTGTATAATCTTTGAATTACTTCTTATTTGATTGGAGAACTCACTGTTGAAGTTATCTGTATCAAGATTTTGATTGGTGGGAATATTTCTGATTACTGACTCAATTTTAATAGTATAAGGACCATTCAGAGTTTAATTTACTCTTGAATCAGTTATGTAGACAATATTTTTTCAGGTATTTTCCTGTTTAATCTAAATTCTCAGTTATATGCTCATACTTTCTACAGAAACTATAGTGATATTTCCCTTTCCGTTCTTGATATTATTTTTGCTTCCTGTCTCTTTTTTCTGGATAAATGGCACAACAGGTTGTCATATTATCAGTTATTTCAAAAAGGAGCCCACTTTTTAGCTTTGTTGAATCTGTTTTGTATGTTTATTTAAAAGAATATTAATTGTATAAACAAAATAATCATCTCTTATGATATTTAAAATGTGACAAAATAGCATATGACTCAAGAGGAATTGAAACGAGTTAACATTTTAAGATTTTTGCATTGCCCAGGCTGGTCTCAAACTCTTGGCTTCAAGTGATGGCCCGCCTCGGCCTCCCAAAGTGTTGGAGTTACAGGTGTGAGCCATCGTTCCTGGCCAATTTTCTTTTGTTTGTTTTAGCTTACTTTTATAACCTCTCGAAATGAATGCTTAGGTCATTACTCTTTAGCTCTTCTTTTCTACTATATGTATTAAAGTAATCAATTTCTATGTAATTAATGTTTTAGCTGCATCCCACCAGTATTTACATGCAGCATTTCCACTATCCTTCAGTTCCAAGTATTTTACAGTTTATGTCATATTTAATTTAATTTTTTTTTTTTTTTTTTTGAGACAGAGTCTCGCTTTGTCGCCCAGGCTGGAGTGCAGTGGCGCAATCTCGGCTCACTGCAAGCTCCGTCCCCCAGGTTCACGCCATTCTCCTGCCTCAGCCTCCAGAGTAGCTGGGACTACAGGCGACTGCCACGACGCCTGGCTAGTTTTTTTTTGTATTTTTAGTAGAGGCGGGGTTTCACCGTGTTAGCCAGGAAGGTCTCCATCTCCTGACCTCGTGATCCGCCCACCTCGGCCTCCCAAAGTGCTGGGATTACAGGCATGAGTCACCGCGCCCGGCCAACTTTTAACTATATAACAACGTTCCAATTACCTTTTTATTTTTTTAATTAAAATTCAGTATGGTTGGAGAACATACAATTTCAACCTTTCTAATTTGTGGGAACTTGCTTAGTGGCATAATATGTACGTTTTGTGGACATCCTATGTGTGCTTGAATATAATTGTGTATGATGCAATTATTAGGTGCAGGGTTAACTTGGTTAGTAATGTTATTAAAATTTATACTGTAACCATTTAAAAAGCTGCCTACTGTATCAATTATTGACAGAGGTGTGTTAAAATCTTCCACCATAAATGTATATTTGTTTAGATATTGGAATTCGGTTTTTGCTTTATTTATTTTAAAGCTATATTATTAGGTGCATACAAATTTAGAATTAGTATATCTTTTTAGTAAATTAAACATTTTACTGTTATGAATTTACTTTCTTCAGAATTCTGCTTTCCGATTTTTGTTTTTGCTTTGAAGTATCTTTATATTAATTATACTGATTCATTTCTCTTCTTTTTATTTGTGTTTGCAGAAGAGGTCCTCTTCCCAGCCTTTTATTTTAAACCTTTTAGTATTATGGGCATATTCCACAAATTCTTTGCTACTGTCTCACTGAGAAGCAGAGTCTAATTTTTCTCTCCTTGAACTTTGACCGGTCTTAATGTTGGAATTGCATTCTGGGATTTATGAAGTCAGGTCACAAGAAGTCTTACAGTATGCTTTGGTCTCTGAGAATATTTGTTTTGGGGGAAGCCTGTCACTGTGCAAGAATTCTGACTACCTTGAGATTGTCATACTGTAAAGAAGCTCAAGCTGGACTTGTGAGAAGCCAAATGGATAGAAAAATTACTAACCAGTCTGTTGTGCATATACACCACATTTTCTTTATCCACTCATCTGTTGATTGACATTGAGGTTGATTCCACATAGTAGCTACTGTGAATAGTGCTGCAGTAAGCATGGGAGGTGCAGGTGTCATTTTGACATATTGATTTCCTTTTCTTTGGATAAATGCCCAATATTGGAATTGCTGGATGATATGGTAGTTCTATTTGTAGTTTTTTGAGGGACTCCCATACTATTTTCCTAGTGGCACGGCTAATTTACATTCCCACCAACAGCATTTATGAGTTTCCTTTTCTCTGTATTGTTACCAGCATTTGTTATTTTTTGCTTTTTACCGATAGCCATTCTAACTGCAGTAAGATGATATCTCTTTGTGATTTGATTTGCATTTCCCTGATGACTGGTGATGTTGAACATTTTTTTATATACCTCTTGATCATCTTTATGTCTTCTTTTGAGAAATGTCTGTTTAGTTCCTTTGCCTGCTTTTTAATCACATTATTATTATTATTATTATAGTTTTGCTGTTGAGTTGGATTCCTTGTGTATTCTGTGTTAGTTCCCTGTTCTATGAATAGTTTGCAAATATTTTCTCCCATTCTACAAGTTTTTCCATCACTCTGTTGTTTCCTGCTGTGCAGAAGCTTTTTAGTTTGATATAATCTCATTTGTCTGTTTTTGTTTTAGTTGCCCGTGCTTTTGAAGTCTTAGCCATAAAATCTGTGCCTAGTAATGTCCTGAAGTGTTTCCCCTTTGTTTTCTTCTAGTAGTTTTATAGTTTTGTCTTACATTTCAGTCTTTATTTTGAGTTGATTTTTGTATATGATGAGAGTTAGGGGTCTAGTTCCATTTTTCTGCATATAAATATTCAGTTTTCCTAGCCCTATTTATTGAAGAGACTGTTCTTTCCCCATTGTGTGTTGAAGGTGTTCTTTCACCTTTGTTGAAAATCAGTTGGCTATAAATACATGGATTTACTTTTTGATTTTCTATTCTGTTTCATTGGTCTATGTGTCTGTTTTTATACCAATATCATGCTGTTTTGGTTACTAAAACTTTATAGTATATATTGAAGTCAGGTAGTGTAATACCTCCAGCTTTGTTCTTTTTGCTGAGTATTG